CCCCGCCCCTCCCGCGCCCGCGCCCGCGCTCCGCACCACGCCTGGCGGGAAAACAGGCGCTTGCCGCGAGACGGCTGCACGATGCCTCGGCCCTGCGCGGAGCCAGAGCCCAAGGCGACCGCCAGACCCCGGCCCCAGGTAACGGGCGTCCGTCCGGTTAGTTTTCGGGGCCGGGGGTGGGGGAGAAAACAGCAGACGGGTTCAGACACACGCTCCCCCGGGCCTCAGTTGAACTCCCAGCTTCGGTTTTCTAAGGAAAAAAAAATGAGACCCTTGGCGCCGAAGAGTAACCCTAGAAATAATGCTAGGATTGGGCCCCCTCCCCCGCGTCCCCTGCGTTTGCTTTTGCAAGGAGTTACTGTGTGTGTGTGTGAGTGTGTGTGTGGGTGTGTGAGAGTGTGAGTGAGTGAGTGTGTGAGTGAGTTCTAGGGCTTGAACTCAGGGCCCGGGCACTGTCTCTGAGCTGCTTTTGCTCAAGGTGAGCACTCTACCACTTGAACCACAGCACCACTTCTGGCTTTTTCTGTGTCTGTGGTGCTGAGGAATTGCACCCAGGGCTTCATGCATGCCAGGCAAGCACACTACCATTGAGCCACATTCCCAGCCCCTTATTTGTTCACTTTTAAAACAATTCCAGGGGTGGAAATGTGGCCCTGGTAAAGTGCATAAGGCCCTGGGTTCGATTCCAGGGTACCCCAGACATAGAAAAACCCGGAAGTGGCACTATGGCTCAAGTGGTAGAGTGCTCACCTTGAGCTGAAGAGCTGAGGGATGGCGCCCAGGCTCAGAGTTCAGGCCCCTGGACCGACAAACAAAACAAAACAAAACAAAAACCAACCAAAAAAACAAACAAACCCCAACTCAATTCCAGATGATTATCCGGGATTAGTCGAGCGATCACAGATGCAAGTCATTATTGTCCTGGCAGACTCACCTGGCCCCAGTAGAAACAGTAATAATCAGCTTAATAAGTTATGTGACAGGATTTTGGAGGGCGTGTTGTGTGGGTGGGGTGGGGTGGGGAGAGGGGAGAAGTTCCCTTACAGGCTGTGAATTTGAATTGTGTTGTCATTATGCTTTAGGAATTAGGTTTGTTTGCCCAGATCTGTGGAGGAAAGCCAGTGGACCTGAGTTCTCATACCGTTTTTTTCCTTAATGATCCAAATAGGTGAATGAATCTAAAGAAAATGAGAACGATGCTCAGGAATCTCTGAGACCTGTACAAACTACGTTTTTAGGGAAAATAGCTAGGGTTTATCTTACGCCCTTTTCACTCAGTAATTGCACTTCGGAGCAATTGAAGTGCTCCCTATCTCAATTAGAAGAGAAGGCTAACAATGCAATGTTGTGTAAGAAGATGAAGTTGAAGAAAACCCCAGAGGTGAAGATGAAGGCCACATCTTCCAAGTCCGAGTCCACCCTGCTAAGGTCTTCCTCAAAGGATCACAGCACAGGTCACAAGCTAGGGCAGAAGAGCAGTGCAGAAGCCTCAGTCCTCAGTGTTGATATGGAAAGCAGTGATGATGATGATGTCTGTGATGATAATTCAGGCCTGGTGAGTTTTATTAGTTTTAATTTTCTTATTTTGAAATTTGGAGTTCTGAACGATAACATGAAAGGTCTGGAGTTCAAATTACCATCAAATGTAAACTGCATTGAAATTTTATTTAAATTTTAGCAGATAAATTCCTTGGATTAATTTTGCTTTTGGTTTTGATGTGTCAAGGAGAGGGTCAATTTAAATCCTTACTCTGCTGTTTTTTGTTTGTATTTTGGTGGTTCTAGAGCCCGAACTCAGCCTGTGTACTGTCTCTGAGCTTTTTCACTCAAAGCTAGCACTCTACTATTTTAAGTCACAGTGCCACTTCTATAGTCTGCTTTTTTCCTCAGTTTTTGGTGTTTATTTTGGGTTTACTAGTATTTTTTCTGTCATTGTTCAACTTTACATACTTGTTCAAAGTTAACTGAAAGCCATTGGCCTTTTTTGACATACAGTATTTGACTTTTTTTTTTTT